ACCGAAAGCGCCCGCCGTCGCTCCGAGAATGCGGTATGGGAGACGGTCAGAGATGAGAGGTGAAGTAAACAAAAGGGAGCTGAATCCACTGGCGGGAGAGCGAGCGAGCGAGCGCGACCGCTACGCGCGCGCACGCTGAATTCGTGATCGAACCGGGCTTCCGGGAGAGCTAGCGGCTGGATTGCGCGCGCGTGTGTGCGCGTCGGAACCGTGGACTCGTTTTGAGACCCTTCGATGCACCGTTTAACATTTCATTCCGTGTCATTTTGTCAATTAAATAATCTAAAGTAAATATGTTCGTGTCGTGTATTTAAACAATCTTGATGCGACGCAACATTCAGAAGCCCTTACGTAAACAACATTTATTGTTCGCAATTTTCAAGCTTAAATATATCTTGATGATTAAATCTCAAATTAAAATTTGAGGGAATCGAGAATGTAAAGAATAAATTCTGGAATTCGAGGAAACTCTGTCTATATATCCGAATTCGAGTATTTTAAATTTTTACAAATCCGAGTTTGTGCACTGTGAAAAATTTTCCCTCGATACCTTCCCGGCATCTAATTCACTCGAGAAAACCAACGGATTCACAGTTCCGAGCACGTTCGTATTTGTTGGTCGAAACAAGTTATGCCGTTCTGCGATACAGCGGAGGAAAGAATCGCCGTTGATATCTTTCGAACTATTTGCGGAGAGATTTTTGATTTCCGACACACGAACATCCGAAACGTGTTACTCGGCGTGAGTAAGTGAGAGCAAGAGTGTAACAGATAATAATAAGATTGTCTCAAATATAAGCCGCGAAAGGCGATCATCTTGAACTGCAAATTCTTGCAGTACATATATATATATTGAATATGATCTCGAAATCGTAATCGGTATTACACGCCAAAGAAATATTAGATTTTATCGATTAATTATTCATTATTCGCATCTGTTACAGAGAAAACAAATTTAAATGAATAATTAAAGAAGTAATTTCTATTTTTTGTAAAAATACAATTTTCACAAAAAGGTATCTTTTATAATTATAGAGATTATTTTCCGATCTACGAATTTCTCGAAATATTAAATATCATAAATTACGATATCGCACTAACATATTCATTTATGATTGAAAATGGCAACTCCCGATTTTTGCTTCCTCTTCCCTTCTTTTTTTTATTTCAGAGAATACTGAACAATTTAATAAA